ACAGTGATCAGATTTCCAGCACTGGCATTTTAATTCATTATTCTGATTTTAAGTATGTATCTAATTGATAGACTTGCTTTAACAGAGACAGACTGTATTTTATTAAGCACTATCCGGAAGCCTAAAAACTATCTGAAAAGAAATGGGAAAATAATTTCAGTCAGTAATGACCCCACTACAGGGTCCCCTGAGTCACAGGCTGTTGTGATGAAACTTCAAACATCAGGATTTTGGGTTGATCCTGTGATGCCCCAACAGCTGGGAGTGAGGCTCATCACTTTCAGTCGCAGTCAGGAGAAAAAGTGAGATATTCCAAACTGCTCAGGGAAAGTAGGGAAAAATGACACTAGATTAGGAAAAAAAAGAAAAAAGAAAAAAAAAGAAAAATCCGTGAGTACAAATATTTATTTTCCTAAAGAACCTCATTATTTCTTCAGGCAGCCCTTTGACTTTTAATGTTACAGTACTGCCTTTTATGCTGAAGTGTCACGACTGAAAACACACTGTGATAAGTGCTAAGGTCTTGAAACAGTTACACATGCTCTGTTCCCTGTTTTTAGAGGAAAAAAGAGTTCGATCCAAAGTTTCATTTTTCTTTTCTTTTTTTTTTTTTTCAATAAAGTCACAAACTAGGACTGTTAAAGCTAGGAAGAGCTAGGAAGAATCCCAGAGCCCAAGGTTGGTGTGTTGATTTGATCTGGCTTGATGAGCAATCATGCTCCATTACCATTCTTATTATTACATACATCAGGTATGCTGATGTATGAGGTTCATGCAATGCATGAACCTTGCTGGCTGAAATCCCTCTCCCCGTCTTGTAGACAAAGACTATGCAGAATGATGGGAGAAGATTATAGATGCACACATGCTTTCTGTTCTACGCCAGGATCTCTGTGGAACCAGAAAGGTGAGCATGGGTGCACCTTTGATTGCTTTGTGATGGTATTTTAATGGCACTAAGACTGTGGGAAGTTACAGTTTATTGATTTTCTTTTCTCCATGCGATGATTTGTAGAGGTGAAGATTTATTTTCCTTGGCATGCTTTTCCATGGAGCTAGCAGGCAGCAAGACCAATGGCATCTGGCAGTCAGTGTCTCTGATGGCACAGGCTGCTGTCCCTTGTGCTTGGAGGATCCTTGACTGCGGATCAGACTAAGATGGGGTTAGGTGGTATGGGCAGTCTCGAGGCTATAGACTCATTTTGCCTCTCAGGTCAAGGATGCTGTGGGTTGAAATCCAGGGAACGTGGGAATATCTGACCTGCCTTTGCTTTCAGGCTAGGGGTGAGGCTGGCTTGGTAAGTCTTTCAAGTGAGAACATTTTCTTTGGAGGTATTTGCTGATATACATATATACATATACATGTATTCTTAACTAAGTTTTCCTATTCCTTGCTGCTTCACAGAATAAACCTCTCAAGGCTGGTCTTCTGCCAGCTGAGAAATTTCTAAAAGACTTGGTGAAATCACCCTAGAAAATTCATGAAAAGAAAGGAATAGGATGTAGAAATGGCATGGTCACTTTGAGACCAGGAAGGACAGACAGTTCCATTGACCCTACACAGAAACTAATACAGCTTCTGGTCTCCTGCCCCTTGTGTCTGCAGAGGCCTGGATAGCCAAGCAGCTTGAGGCACTTTACTTCAGGTCCATCTGCAGTCTGGAAGGGGGAGCAGGCTGCCATAACTGTCTTTTATTTTTCTACACAGCTTTGGGTTTCCTGGACATTTTCCTCCTTCTTCCATTGAAAGTTTCAAGGAGTTAATGTTGATTTCAGTCTCCTCAATAAGAATTTTGTGCTTCCTTCTGCCTGGCCTGGCTTTGTGGAGTTCATGCAAAGATCTGGAAGCCAGAAGGTGCCATTTTGATCACTTTGACCATCTGTAAATCACAGGCTGTAACTTTTAGTTGAAGTAGGTTGTAACTTTTTAAAATAAAGATCAAATCTTCAACTCTGACTTAAGACCAAGTGTGAGAGTGTTTAGTGCATGAATCTGTAGGCTGTCCCACTGACTGACTGTTAGGCTTCCTTTTGTGTTAGTATAGTGGAGAGAGGGAAAGTTACAGCTCATAGTCTCCCTGTGCAGTAGGTGCTTCCATGCTGTGGGAAGGCATGGCAACTAATTTTGTAGGCATCTCTTTGTAGTGATTTTTAACAAAATGGTTGAAATGGATCATGAGGTAGGGTTGTGTATGGATGGAGACCTCCTTGAAGCCTTTGGAGCTTCAGAAGAGAGAGCTTTAGGGTCCTTGATGGAGCATCTACCCAAGGGTGAACGGAAGTTGCTGTGTTAGGGACCAGTCAGAAATGGGATTAGACTTTGTCACACTCAGTGAGGAATAAGAAGCCCCAAAGCACTTTGAAGCTAAAGAGGAATAGCAGAGAAGCCCACAGGACAGAAAAATAATGTCCTCTGTGCTTACACTGCAGCTGAGATCCCACTTGTATCTGAAGGTATACAGCTTCACCTGCTACATGCTGGGTCTTGTAATATCTAGGAGTGCTAGGTCAAGAGGTCCTCAGGATTCAAATTTTTCATCACAGGAAATGATCCCTTTGGTTCTGCTCTTCAGCATCCTTTCTCAAAAGGCAGGTATAAAAATAGGACGTGGCATCTTAATGACAGTTTCACCTGTGCTAGAGACAGTGTTGCTTTCTCTTCCAGACTCCTAGATATTCTCCCCATTCAAGTGCCAAACTTCTGTCCCTCCATCACCAAAGTTCATCAGCAGCTCTTCATCCATTCCGTCCTCTAAGACTTTTGCAGAATTACTGATTTCCTATTTGCAGTTTTCCTCCTTGTAAACATTACCCAGATGTTCCAGCTGCATATGAATCTGCCTGTATTAAAACACACTGGGTGTGTTTGTGTGTGGTTTACCAACAGCTTCTGTGATTTGCCATTCACAAGAACCCAGCTGATTGATGTCTAGGCCAAGATGAAGCCATATTGTCTTGACCAAGGCATATATCCTTTTTTCCTCTTTTCCTCTGATGCTAAACTATAAGCTTTATAATTGAACCATGTTTCTGTGTGACAAGGGCCAGCAAAACCCACTAGGAAATACTTGTCACCTGTCCTCACGTACTCTCCTAACAGATTCTGTTACAGCCTCCTGGCTGCAACATTGAGCTCAGCAAAAGTACTTGCTTTTCATCACTGAGATTTCCAGTGCCAGCCAAGGAGGTGGATATGAAACTTGTGTGCATTGGGTGCTGCCAGCAGCACATCATAAATAATAGTAATGGAGTGTAATTGCTTATCAGGCCAAATCATAGCCTGGAGGGCTCCATCTGGCCAAGCTCACTGACGTCAGTGGGAGCTTTGCCAGCAGGTGCGCGATGAGACTGGGACCCAAACAGTGGTACCGGCAATGAGATAGCTGTGACATAAATCCTAGGGCCTGTTCAGGGTTTGAAACTGATGGGTGTCTTTGTAGAGATTCAGAAAGCTCTAGCTAACCCTTCTTGTGTTAAACTGCTTCCCTGCCAGTCAGAATACATCTGCACAATAGTTATTGCAGATGGAGCACGGAGGAGGAGGATTCCTAACACTAAGCAATGGGATTTTAAATCTGGAGAGGAGATGGAAGTTCTTCTCTGCTGGGTCTTAAAAAGTGTTTACGTGGGAGTAATTTGGAACTTAAAAATGATTTTCTTGGAGTCCACCTTTTGGAGGATGCAACCAAAAAAATATATTGATAACTGAAAAATATTCTGACCGTGGTGCAAGGGCTATAAAAGCCAAACAAGCTGCTGTACCTACTTATCAATCATCTATTGCTATTTGACACTGGTACAACCCTTTGCTAATGGCAATAATTTACTGCCCTCCATGAAAATAATTTACCATACCCATTTCAGACTGAACATTCGCTGTTGTGGTTCAAACCTGTGATGAATTGGTGGGCTATAAATTTTCTTTCCTCCCTCCTCCCCCCGCTTCCACTGTAAAGCTGGGATGAAGGTTAAGGCACTAGGTGTTATCTAAAGTTAAGTGCTCTATTCTCAATGCCCCATACATCCTCGCTAATGCTTATAGCTCCCCTGTGGTATTGGGAAGTACCATCGCTATTGTACTGAGGTAGAGCAGGAGCTGGAGAGAGATAAATGGCCTAGTTATCAAAACTTCCTAGCCTCCCACAGCCCTCATTGGGAATAGAGCTATAAATGACATTCATATCATGCTGATGGATGGCAGCACAGTGGGGAGCAGAACGCGCATCTTCCCAGAGCGCTGCTGGGTCCAGCACCCTCCTGCTGATGGTGGCACGGGCATCTAACCTAAAGGTGGTTGCCACTGCTATAGTCATTCAGGTGAGGCTCGGCGTAGTCTGCTCACATCCACTAATGACTCGTTCGCAGACAAATCCCTTGGGGTTGCAAAGGTTCAAAATTGGATGGTGACTAAAGCAACATTAGAGCTGGAACTTGCAGAGCCAAGCAGGCAGGGCGAGCGGGAGGCAGAAGCTTTAGCTGGAGGCTGGAAAGGGAATGATAGTAAAGGAGAAGTCAGGCTGTGCAAGCCCTTCCCCCCCCCCTTTTTTTTTGATCAAAAAAATAAAAGGGCTCAATTTTTAGAGGACTCAGACATGAGAGTGGAAAAGTCCTTTTTCAGTTCATGATCTACAATGATGGGAGCAATCTTTCTGAGCGATGGCGCTTGGGACCTCTCCATCACAGACGTGTGGTCTGGTCTATAGTGTGGTCCCTGCAACACTGTGGTGCATCCACAAATCACTTCCAGGAGCTCCCTTTCTGCTTGCTGCCCTCCCTGGTGCGTGAAACAGGAGATGGACTGCACAGATGGCAAATTCCCTGGGGAATGAGCAGCTACTCTGGCTGCTACCTCTGCCTCCCTTTCGAGTTTGGGCTTTTGGGGGGTCTTGGCATTTCTGCAGGAGATTCCAGGAGATGCTCTCTGGAAGAAGATGACGATTTGTGAAAACAAGCAGCCATCTGTATGGCTCTGTTATTTTTATTATCTAGAAGGAAGGGGGATGGATGGGAGCCTTGGTGCCCACCCCGAGCGCATACGAGTGCTCAGCCCTGCAGGCAGGTGCCCTCCCAGATGCACTGCGGGAGTAGAGGGGACCCTTCCCGCCTGGTGTGGCAGAAATCCCCGGGGATGGAGGGTGCAGCGCTCACTGCAGTTGCCTCCTCTTCCCACTCCTGGCGATGGAGACACTGGAGAGGGAGGGGAAAGGCTGCGGAGGGTGAAGCTGCCAACCGCATCCCTTCCAGATTCAGCTCTGAGGCTGCACATGGCAGGAGGGGGTGACAGGAGGCTCACTCCTAGTTCTGGGTCCGATGGGGCAGCAGAGACACCCCGGGGTGCACCCGGGCCCAGCCCCGGGGATGGGATGGCGGCGGGGGGGACACATGCGGTGCAGGGGGTGACAGGGCATCCCGCGCTGGGGCAGGAGCAGCATCTCCCGCAAGGCGGGAGCGCTGCGGGGTGTGC